GACTAAAAGAGATTAAAAGAGATTAAAACAGATTAAACAGACTAAAACAGATTAAAACAGATTAAAACTGACTAAAAGAGATTAAAAGAGATTAAAACAGATTAAACAGACTAAAACAGATTAAAACAGATTAAAACTGACTAAAAGAGATTAAAAGAGATTAAAACAGATAAAACAGACTAAAACAGATTAAAACAGATTAAAACAGATTAAAACAGACTAAAACAGACTCCAGGTTCTGACACAATCACAGCAGACTGGAGTTAAACCTGTTAGTTCATCATCTGACCTGATCTCCCATCGAATCTGATCCCAGGATGGATTCAGAAACACAACCTGGAGCCTCAAGGGTTAAACAGAAAACAATAAACATAAAATCTCTGAAGAAATGATGAAAACAGGAGAAATGAAACCCAAACACACAGAGTGTAACACCACCAGGTGGCGTGGTTTCATTTGTTTGACCACAAAGAGTTTGATGATGATGATGATGATGATGATGATGATGATGATGATGATGATGATGATGATGACGTCATCAGGACAGAGACAGGTCCGTTTAGGGAACGTCTGTCTGAAACAACATGGAGCATCAGTCTCTGGCTGTTTACCAATCTGCTGCAGTCTGGATGAGTTGATGACGTTTGTGTTGGTAGGGAGCCACTGCTCTGCTAGTCCAGGGACCGATGTCCTCATGAATCCGTCTCTGGGGACGGGGACACACCAGGTGTCTCTGTGGACTGACAGTAAACTGATGGACTTCCTCCTCTCGGCCTTCATTCAGACGGTTTGATGGAAACTGTCAGGATTCAGAGATCTGGAACATCTGAGGTCCATCTCCCTGCAGCTCCCTCTAGTGGCCGGTGTCTGATCTGCCTCTGACCAAAGAGAGATGAACTCTGACGTCAGCTGCTGGGAGGAGACGTCAGATCGATGTTTAGCTTCAGAAAGCTCTGCAGCCATCTTCATCTTCCTTTCATCACTCATAGAGGTTAAAGATATCAGAGGGAGATCTGCCTTCCTCAGAGGAGGAGGAGGAGGAGGAGGAGGAGGAGGAGGAGGAGGAGGAGGAGTTTACTTTCTGTTTCTGAGGATCAGCAGATCAGTCAGATCTCTGAGACACCATGAAGGAAGCATCAGATTCCTGCTCTGTAAACAGATTTCAGCTTCTAATAAACCTGAACACTTTCTGTCTGTGTAGAGCTGTAAGATGTAGATCCATATGAGGTGTAGATGTGTGTAGATGTATTTATGGATCTGAAATGGTTCCATGGTGTGTCTGATCTGTCACTGCCTCCAGGTGAAGACAGTTTCTGTTTATCTGGTTAAAACTGTTTCCTCTTCAGATGCGGCTGCAGCTCAGCCGTCGTCCGTCAGCTTCCTGTTTCTCTCAGATACTCTGACAGGAACAAGACGTTTTCACACGGCCTGTATAAAGTATTCACTCCTGCCTGTTTTACTGCTTTTACAAAACAAAATGTGGCTTTTTGACTCTTTAACCTGAAACTCAAAGAGGATTCAACATAATGACGATTAAATAATGTATGAAACACAGAATCAGTGATGGTATAAATCTCCCTCTCAGTCAGTATTTAGTATTCACACCCAGGGATGTGACGCCTGAGGCGATGTGTTTGCTGACATGTCTGATGGTCAGAAATCTCCGTTTTGGTCCAAACTACGTTCTTCCTCTTCTTCATGGAGTCTCTTCCTTCTTCCCTTTGGTCTTGACCTGAGTTTCAGTCGTTTTCTCATTTCTGCTCTCACATCAAACCCTGACTGGGGAAGAACCTTCAGCTGTTTTCTCTGAATCTCTTCATCTCACCTGCTGCAGCTCCTTCAGCGTCGTCGTCACGGTAACCTGGTGTCCTCTCTGTTTAAGCTCCTCCCTTTGTCTCCCAGGTTGAGGACGGCCTGATGTCCTTCTGTTGACTGAAATGTTTTGTCTCCAGTACGGCTGCATCCTCCTCTCCTGCTGTAATCAGTTGTTTAATATTTAGGGGTCAGAGGTCACATTATGCTCCTGGACCTTTTGATTTAACAGAATCCAGATAATCCATGATTTTATAAATATAACATTATGTGTTCTTTGTGTTACTTTAGCACCACTTGGCTGGACCTCTGTTGAATTAGGTCAGTCACCCATCGCTTATACATATTATTAAGATATTATATTTTTGAATAATTTCTTGCTATGACAAAGTTTTTCTGTTAAAAAAAGTCAGATTTTGCTTCTCCTGATAGATTTTGTGAAATCAATATGAACTTTTTATCAGCGCTGCAGGTTACTGAGAATGAGAGAAACTGAATTTCTGGTGTTAAAAGTAAAGTTAATTTTTAATTAGTTATTCTCTCTTAAAAATGAGTAATAATTTGTTTAAGTTAAAAGTGAAATCAACATGTCCTCCATCCGATGAGCGTCTGAAGTTTAGACGTTCAGGAACCAGAAGCGTTTGCTGCGTCTGTCGGCCATCTTGTTCTTGGCTCCGCCCACTTATCTGGGATGTTTCCTACATTTTCCAGGTTCATCTTTCAGAGGGTTAGTTTCACTTTCATGGTATCCAGAATTACTGACCCAGGGTTTCATCCACCATCTGATCTGTTCCTGGACAACAGCGCCCTCCGGTGGCCAGCCGCAGAGCTGAAGGAAGGACGCCAGGCTGGAGGCTGAAGGTGTTTTTGCTTTTGGGTTTATTCTGTGGTTTATCGGTACTTTGCTAACGCATACAGAGAATCTGTCAGCAGATGAACTTTAGTTTAATTCAACTTTAGCTGTAGTTTGACCTGCTGATGTTATTTTGCTTCTTTTTATCATTTAAACGTTTTCTCACCTTCAGGCAGCCTGACAGCGTCAGAGGAGGAGGAAGAGGAGGAAGAGGAAGAGTAGGGTCCGACTGATTCTGACTGAAACCAATTCAACCAGTTGATCTCTGACAGGAACCATGAAGCAAACATCTGCCAGGCTCCTGCTCTGTAAGTACAGACTCCAGCTTTGAGTTATGATCATTTATATATCTGAGTTATGAAACTATTTTATCAGAATCATATTTATTTTATTATATTTATTATAGTTTATTCTAATTTCTCTTTTCTATAGTTTTGACCCTGGAGCTGTTCTGCACACCCAGCCGAGGTTTGATCACTTTCTGGTTTAAACATTTTACTGGATTAATATGTGAAATAATGAATGAGTTTCCTTAACATGGTTAATGGACATGAAATCAGATGAAAACAGGAAGAGGAAAATAGTTATTACTTTAATCTGTTTCTCTGTTTAAGAAGCTCAGATCTCCTCCATCCAGGGATCAGATATTAATGATCAGATTATGAGAGAAACCAGCATGATGTGTTGAAGGTTCAGGGTTTAATGCAGGAATTTGGAGCTTTGATGAGAATAAAACCAGCAGCAGTTTTTCCTTCCAGCCGTTCGTCTGACTGTGAGTCCCAGCAGATCTCAGTTCTTCCAAGGAGAATCAGTGACTCTGATCTGTGAGGATGGAAACAGCTCTGATGGAGGAACTGTGAGGAGAAACACAACCAGAGGAGCCAGTACTTGGTGTGGAAATGGGTGGGGGAGAAAAGATGGTTCTACCTGCAGCATCAGCTTCGTGTACGCATTAGATACTGGCCTGTACTGGTGTGAGTCCATGTCTGGATCCTCCAGCAGCAGCAGCAGCAGCATCCAGCTCTCTGTCTCTGGTAAGATCAGACTGTGGAGTTAGTGTTGCTGTGTGGAAATGGATGAAATGCTGTAGTTTGTCTCTGTGTTGAGGTGGATCAGTGATCCTGCAGAGTCCTGTCCTCCCTGTGATGGAGGGAGATGACGTCACGTTACGATGCCATGATAAGACTTTCTCCAAACTCCCAGCTGCTTTCTATAAAGATGGCTCCTTCATTGGTGATGGACCTACTGGGAACCTGACCCTAAACCCAGTGAAGAGATCTGATGAAGGCCTCTACCACTGTAACATCAGCGGTCAGGGAGAGTCTCCATCCAGCAGGATCTCTGTGGAAGGTCAGCAGCTTCTCTGTTTGCTTCAACCTTCATCAGGAGACAAGAAATAAATTATTACTTTGATTCATTTCAGGGAGAATCACCTCCATCTCTCCTCCACCTTCATCCACCTCTACTCCTGACCTCCAGAACCTCCACAACAACATCCATTGTCTCATTTTCTTCAGTGCTGCTGTTTCTCTGCTCTACCTGGTTCTGCTGGTTTAATTTTTTTATCCAGATGAACCATGAAGGTGAGAATCTGACTAAAATAATCCCAGCAGGAATATTAAATGTGTTTTAACTCAGTTCAGGTTCTCAGACAGCAGAACGTTACCTTGTTGATCTGCAGAACTTCATCACGGTCAGAACCTGCTGGTTCTGTTGCTCCACCTTATCGTCCTCCTGAATGCAGAAAGTATTTTATTTTACAGTTTATAGATTTTATGATGACTGGTTTTTAATCCAAACATCAACAGGAGGTCAGTGAAAAGCAAACCAGATGTTTCAGTCTTAAACATGATTCTGTCCATCACTGGGTGGATGACGTTCAGACCTCAGCTTCCTGTTGGTTCAGGAAAGTTTAATCAGACCTGATCAGAACCGACCCGATCTCATCTGATCATCTGAAGTCTCAGTTTCTCCTCTGTGGTCTGAAGGTTTTAGTGACAACAGATGGAGACAGATTAGTCTCAGCTGCAAGCAGCTCAGACCTTGAAGTCTGAGCTGCTTGGTGTTTTTCTGCAGCAGTGGAACATGCTGTGGTCTGCTTCTAATGTCACCAACATCCTGCAGTTCAGACCAACCAGAAACAACCAGAATGTTCCAGAGAACTTTAACCGTCTGCTTCTTTTGAAGGACTGAATATTTATGTTTCCAGTCCTGCAGCTGCTGAGTTTCTGAGAATCGTTCAGAGTCACGTGACTCCATCAGCTGATGATGAAACATCCTCCTGCTGCCACCTACTGGCGGAGCGCTGTTATTACAACTCAGCTGACAGAAACGCCCTGGGACTTCTTGAGAAAGAGGCTCAGATCTGGAACATCTGGACTAAGGCAGCATGTCCTAGTCAAAGGCTCCAGTCCTGCTGTGATGAACTAACATGTTGGAACAAAACAGGATGTGTAGATGTCCAGATTATAATCCAGAATCCTGAAGAACCGAGCAGAACAAACTTCACTGCAGATGGAGAAATAATCCAGAAAACATGTTTGACAGATTTATATTGTAAACTTTTATTTTTCACAGTCAGATTCTGAGTCAGAACTTTATTTTCATCTTAATGATGAATCAGTTCCCAGATCATCCTGAACATGAAGTGATAAATGTTGAAACACAGAGAGACTCTGAGACCTGAAGGAGAATGAAAACATCAGCTGAGCTGTAATACCAGCTGTCCGCCACTAGGTGGAGTAAAACCACAGCAGCTCCAGAACCAGAACCAGGAGTGGATCAGAACCACACTGAGTTTTACTCAACAGTAGAGTTTAATTCACATAAATCTGCTTTTAATTATGTATCTAAATAATGTAAAAACTGGATTTATTTGTTTTAATATTCAGATGTTTTAACCCATTTTGAAGTTTTGTATCTGCTGCAGGTAAGAAAAATAAAATCTCAAATAAAATGTTATTAATTTGTTTATTTTTTGGTTAAATGTCGTCTAATGGTCTGACTTTAGCTCCATCCAGCCAAAACAGTGATGAGTAACATCTTCAACCTTTTCAGACTGAACCAGAACGCAGTGAACTAGAAATCACAAGAGGTGATGAAGATGAGGAGGACGAAATGGAGGAAGAGGAAGGAGCTGGCTGGAGGAGCTGCTGTTTGTTGCTGCTGCAAACAGCAGCTTCATAATGTGTCTCTGCTCTGGCCTAAAAATGCTTTGGGCAATTCCCCAAAATGTTCTGTTTAGGAAATTCCCTGGAAAAGTTGATGAATGTTTTATGAACACATGAGTTCATGCAGGTGGGAACAAGAGGAGCTTCAGGGGAAAAAAACTAAAAGATTCAACATGTTTCAACCTGCAGCCTGAGAGAAACTTCTGGAAAACTGAAAACATCAGGAAGTCGTTCTGCAGGAATAAAAACAAAACCAAAATTCTTTAAGGTTCAGTTATTATCATCTCAGTTAGGATCTTTAGTTGGTAACAGGACAGACCATAATAATAAAATATATGTTGCAGAGAAAACCTCATAAATTCATCTGTATCACCCGTTTCAGTAGCACGGCAGTTCAAAGAGCTTCATATAAAAACATTAAACTAGGAAACAAACATGAAAGATTACATTTCACCATCATTCAAACCATCAACACACATCAGATATAAATGTAGACAAATGAGCCAAACACATCCAGCTGAAAAATGGAAGAGGGTTTTATTTCCCGACTGTCCTCAGATGGAACAACATTAACGTTGGTTTGATTTGGTACAAAAAAAATAAAGAAACTTGTGAAATGTGTTATTAAAACAATTAATTCAAACAGATTTTCAAAATTAAAAATACAATTTCCCTAACTTGAGAATTACAAATAAAAACGTTGACACCAGAAAACACAACAGCAGTAGGTTTGTTAAATGGACCCTACGAAAAGCACCACTACATAAGCATTCTATATACATTCATAAAAAGTAACATACAACTTTGCAAGAAACATTACTCTAAAGATGTATAACATTTTAAAGGACCTCAAAGGAATCAACAAACTGAACTCACTTCCAAAAGGCCAACAGATCGTCCAGAGTGGAGCAGATTCTCACCTGGGCATTTTATCTCTCCTCTGAATACAAATACACAAAACAGGTAAAACAAACGATATACTGAGGATAAACTGATATTTAATATTCAACACTCACGCCGTCACACAGAAATCTCCCTCAACGGTTACAAAGGCCAAATCTCACCGCTCATATAAATCAATCAAAATAAAACCTCATCACTACAAAAAAAGAAAAGTCATCAGTAAAGTTTACAGCACCAAGTTTATAATTTTTATGTTTTATTTATTAATTTGCTTGTCTACTAACATTACAGATTATTCCCAGGTCAGGTTATCAAGTTATGAAGTTTTTACTGTTATCTTTACAGCTTCAGATGGGGCCCACGGCTGTTCCACAGAAATGATGGCACATAAATGCATTTAAAGCCGGACCAATCACACCGCTGGCACCTCTGCTTGTTGCCTCGCGCTGCAGTAGCTGGATTAAGTTTACCTCTTCGTGGAAACGGCGCGCCTCCTGTCACTCAAACTGGACACACGCTGACTTGTATGGATATTTACATCAACCTACTGTGAGGAATTATGAACCTTTCCAGAGGTTTTGATCAAGGTAGGATTTTAAACACCACTCTGGTTAGCTCTGGTTGCGCAGCTCTATGGGTGCGTTCACACTGCAGCCTGAAGTGACTCAATTCCAATTTTTTTGACGTAATGCAACCTGTATCTGATCTTTTCATGGCAGTGTGAACAGCACAGGTCGGATTATATTTCGAGTGTGACCCATATGTGACCCAACGTTCAGGTCGCATTCATCCGAACTGAACGTCACTGATTCTCTACAAATCTCACTATTCTGTATCCTGATACGCGCAAGCGGGTAGAAAAACAACAACCATGATGGACTATAATGAGGATTAAGTTGTTAATATGCTGCTCCGGCCGATAACAACTTCAAATATATAAGCTAAGCTCCACCTTTAGCCTCCATGTTTACTAAACACTGAGATCTTCTTCTTTTTATGGCAGTTGGCAGAACACTGAGAACGCTGACACTATTGCGCCCTCTACTGCTCATGCGGGACACTTTCAGGTCATTGGCCCGTTCAGACTGCAAAACACATAAAGGTCGCATTTACTGGCAGTGTGAACGGGCCCCGCAAAAAAATCGGAATTGCCAAAAAATCGGAATTGAGTCACTTCAGGCTGCAGTGTGAATGCACCCTAAGTGAATTTTGAATATTGAAGGACTGACTGGTGAGCTGTGGTAAAGAAATGCCTGTAGGTGCTCACCTCACTCAGACCTGCTCCTCTTCGTCTTCGACCTGCTACACTTTGCAGGAAGTGTAGGTATCAGAGGAAGTGGTGCGCTTGACTGTGACCTTTGACACATCCATGTGTGATGTGAACCCCTGGCCAACCAATCTAATCGATTCAAAGGGCTTTACCAAATTGATATTGAATTGGAAAAATCAATTGAAATTCCGTGATGGGTGGATATTTTTACCTCTAAGCTTTATAAATGATTCTAAAACCCATTAAATCTAAATCAGCCTATAAAGAGAAGAAGTAGAAGAACTGTGAGTCCGATCACTGGTCCAGAAGATCCGGCTCTGCTTCCTCTGCCTACGAGGATCCTTGAACCTGTGGAGGAGAAGCAGCAGTGAGAACGAGGCTGTCAGTGGAAACTGGCTTCACTTGGTGCTCAGTGACAAATCAGGTCTGTCAGGAAGAGATTTTCTCCAACATGACCAGAGTTTCTGATTGTTGAACCACATGATCAGCTTCTCTTCAGACCATCTGTTCTGTTTTTATCAAGCCGTCTCCATCTGCAGCTCCACAGCTTCCACCATCTCTGCCATCCTTCCCTCAGTTCCCATCTTTAATCAACATCTGGAATAAACCCTGAACATGATCATTCAGATTCCAGGTCCAAGAAATCTCTTGGCTTGATGAGAAACTTCCCTAATGGCTGACCTGTCAGGTAACCATCAGGTGGAGAGCAGTGGACAGACCAGGCTGTGTCTGAGCAAAGGCATCAGCCGACATCTGGACTTCATCCGATGTACCAAAACCAATCTGAGAAACTCAGAGCTTTAGAGGGAAACTCACTCAGCCAGGAGCCTGGATCTCTAAGCCTGACTTCAGCTCCAGCTTACATCCTGTCTGATCCTCATCTGTTTGCAGATGATGTGATGCTGTTTGGATCTGTAAGTTAAACTGATGTGGTGAAGAAGAAGCTGAGCTGAAAGACAAAGCTCCCAGTTTACTGGTCTGTCTCCACTCCAACCCTCATCTTCTCCAACAGAACCAGACAGCAGAGACTAACGGGTCGGTCCTCCTCAGACTGACTTCACTCTGCCCTGTCTCTGTCCTTCCTCCAGCTGAGACATGGAGCCGAGTCATTTCTGGACGGCCCAGAGCTCAGCTGCTCTGAGCAGAGCTGGTTCAGATCCCGGATTTCTTCCAGCTGCAGTAGGAGCTGCCTGGAGGAACCATCAGTTTTTCTCCACTGAACATGTTACCTCTACGGCTCTGTTAGGTGAAAATTCCTCAGTCAGGATTATTTAACACCAGGTCCATGAGGTGAGAGCCACGGGATCAGAAACCCATGAGCAGGTCAGATCCAGAGTGAGTTGGACTCTGACATCAGTTTCAAGCAGAGGATAGGAAACCCTGAACAACAGAGACACAGTGTGACTCCTGAGCAGCTGCAGTAAACAACATCTAACCCTGGATATGCAACCCAGACTGGTTCATTTGGTGAGATTATGACCATCAGTTTATTAAAGAGCTTATTTAATTTCCTCCACTCCAAGCTTTGGATGAGTAAAAGACACAATATGGATGAAGAACATCTTAAGGTCTTTAAAAACATGATGACCAGCAGGAAGCTGCTGAAATCTGGTCCAGACAGACGGACTCACCTCGAGCAACTTCCAGGTTGACGATGCAGACGTGTTTTAAATTCCTTTTGTTTGCTTCATCATAAACGACTTGACATTTGTATGTTCCTCTGTCTTCAGGCGCCACGTTCCTCAGAACCAGAGACACGTCTCCATTCTTCATCTGTCTGTCCTTCAGATCCACCCGGTCCTTAAAGGACTGCTGCTGATCTGTGACAAACTGTGAACTTCTGTACAGAAGAACAGAATCTGAACCCAGATCATCCCTGGTCCAGTCTACTACTTTGATAAGTTTGCTGTTCGTAAGCCGACATGGTAGGATGGCTTCCTGTCCAGGTTTCACTGTGATGTCGATCTGATCTGAAGGAGAGGAAACAAGACATTAAAGACTCTGGTTTCTGAGTTTCACCAAAAGAAAAACTGATGAATAATCTGGTTGGATCATAAATAGGTTACAGAATATTTAAATGATCTGGTTCAGCTCAGCTGTTCTGGACCGTAAAGCAGTAGTTTTCATGATGTGATACATTTTTAGTATTGCTTATGTTTCTAAAAATAAATATGAGTGAATATTTAAAAAAGAGGTAACTCAACCTTGTTACCAGTCAGACTGGTTAGTTAACTGGTCACCAGTTTGACATCCATCCCAGTGATTTACATGAAGGGATCCAGATTCACGATGACCCAACTCATCCTCTGTGGTAGAAAACTGTTGGTCTCACCAACAAAAACTAAACATTATAAATAACTTTTATAGTATGTAATTATATAAATAGATTTTGAACAAGAGATTCCTCAAACAAATAAATTGTCTTTTCACTTATTTAACATTTTTAATACATTGATCTCAATAATGTCTTTTGCTAGTTCAAGATTTATGAAGTTTAATGAGTTTAATTAGTAAATATTGTAGAGATGTTTCTGTCAGAAGTTTCTCCATCTCAGTGGAGATGGATCATAAACTCATCTCATCCACTGTGGTGGTTGATGTCTCGTTTGAGGTTCACAACCATCCAGCATCTAACACTCTTATCCTCACAGAGTCAGTGGAGGCCTGGTGCTCATCTCCAGGAGAACCAATCACAGCCACTGGTTTGGAATGACATCATCTCATCTCATCCAACCATAACTCAGCATGGAGGCGGATAGAGAAACCCAGGAGGACAAAGCAGCAGCCAGAGCTCAGCTCCATGTTTGTTTCTAAGCTTCTGTGTTAATTATTATATTTACCAGGGTTTCTGTTAGAGCGGAGAAAAACATCTTTCCTGTTTTTTCTCTTTTTGGATGTGGTAACATTTAAATAAAAAATATTTAAAATAGTTTTATTTTTTAATTGTATTTTATGCTGAAGTTTTTACATCATCAGGGAGTTGGGAAGTTACAAGGTTCAGAAAAATCACTTGGAAAACAGAACAGCAGTTTGCTGATATTACAAGATATATTATTTTCTTTTGAATACTTGAGAATTTTCAAAAGCTTCTTTACTTTAACTTCAGTAAAATTCAGACTGAGCAACTTTACATGTAGTTGAGGATAATATCAATACTTTTACTACTAGAATTATCTATTTATTTATTCTTTCTTTTCAACTTCTACCAAAATATCAGTGACTCTGAAGGTTAATCAATGAATAGAGAACATTAAAATAAAGCAAATAAGAAATAACTGATTAAAGGAAAATGACACCATTTGATAATGTTCTGTTTTGTCTTTGTTCTGAATGTATCCATCTTAATTCTAATTCAAAAATACTTTATTATTCCTATAGAGAAATTAAACAATAATGTCAACTCCTTGTCTTTTTTTGTTAGTTTTTCTGTTATTTGTAGGGTAACAGAAAATTTGCACTAATTTGTTGGTCTGTAATGTTTGTTCTGCATTAGTTGGTGAATAAAAATAAGAAGTTCTAGAGTCGAGTAGTTGGACAAAATCAACCAGCAACAGACAGAAAACAGCAGCAGGAACCAACTGGACTCGGTCATCCGATCGATCAGAACCTCTTTACTGCCATAAACATCAACATTTCCTCAGTTAGTGTGAGTCTAATGTGTTTCAGCTGTTTTGGTGGGACTTACCAGAAAATGTGTAAGAAACTCCTGACACCAGAACCAGAACCAGCAGCTGCATTGAAGTCGCCATGAGGAGAAACAACCTTCATGATCAGAGGACGAGTCTGAACTGGAAACTGCAGACGAAGCAGTTCTGGGATTTCCTCATTTCAAAAAACAGCTGCCGTTGCAAAGAAGCGGGATTATTTCAGTCTAAACTAAAATCTAAAACACTAATTGTTTTAAGTAGATGATGGATGAAGTCAGACATTAAACACCAGTTAAACCAGAAAAACAACTAGACTGGTCAAACCTGAACTGGGTTTATTATTTACTGAAGGTCTATTTTATTCATCCACAA